TTTGTGAAGGTGATCATAGACCCTGTAGTCGGCAGAAATTATTTTTACGATGCCGACGGGGAGCCCCTTTTTCCCTTCTATTGGACGTGTCAACCTCGGAAGTACGATGACTTCCCCGAGGATATGATGACCGATGCCGAATTGTCGGCTTTAAACGTTCTTAAGGGATTGCCGAGGTGCATCCCGTCTCGGTTTCTGGTGCTGCTTCCCAAGTCGCCTCGGCCTCGTTTCGAGCTAGAGGGTATGTCTTGTTTTTATCTCTTTTTGCTCGTGCTTGTTAGGTTGATTTGTGACTTGGTGCATTTTTGCAGGTTGGATGGCGCAACAAGGATTGGGCTTGTCTTATCGGCAGCTGATGAGGAACAGGGCCCCGGCCGGGTCCTCTGCCGAAGATCATTGCAGTGTCGCGATTGATCCCCAGCCTCAAGTAATGGAAGCTCCCCGACCGCCGCCCCCTGTTATCGCTCTTCCCGATCCAAAGAGCCGGAAGAGAAAAGACAAAGGGAAGAGAAGAACTGATGCAACTGGTCCGGAGGCATCGCGGCCCAAGCAACGCAGGGTTGAAGGGTCATCGTCGGATTTGGCGATCCCTTCGGCCATTGTGGCCAAGGATTTTTTGTCTGAAGAGATCCGGCCGGCAAGGATGATGTCTTCAGATTTGCTGTCGGCCCAGGGCCACACGATGCTCGATTCGGCCACTCCCTCGGCACAATGGGCTATGGCCTGCGAATTACATGTCCGGGCTACTGCCATTTTTAGGAAAATGGCTTTGGAGCCGATGGGCGACCTGCATAACCTCCAGAAAAGTTTGGAGGACACTAAGGCGGCCCTTCAACAATCCCTCTCGGCACAGGAGGCGCTTTCCAATGACAAGGTTGCGTCTGACACCGAGATTGCCCGGCTAAAGGGGGCCCTGGCGGAGATGGAGGCTCGGGCCTTGGCGGCCGAAGAGGCGAGAGTCCGTGAGGTGGCAGAGGCCGCTGCTAGGGAGCAACAAACGAAGGCCGAGGCCGACGCTGCTATGGCCGCTTTCCGGGCCGAGTGTGAGGGCAAGATTGTGAAGGAGCATGAAGAAGGGTTTTGGCACGCCGTTCGTCAGGCAACCCATTTCGGCGCTTTTCCCCCTGACTTCTCTTTTGCGTTGAGTAAGGACTTCTTTCAAGGGGAATTCATGGATTTCGCCGAGGCGCCGGATAACCTCGAGCCAGATGATACGGCCCCGCCCCGATCGGCCCCGGCCGAAGATCCTGGGACCACTTTGAATGACGACGACGACGAGACTGAGCAGACTACCAATGCCGATTAGGCGGCCTTTGTTCTCGTCTTTTTGTTTCATACATCTGTTTTGTTGATGATGTATAGGGATAGGGTATACTTTTGTTTTTCTTTTTTGATTCCTTGGGCCGAATGGGCCAAATTCCGTTGTACCCCCCCCGGCCGTTAGCGCCGCTTTTAAATTGAATGAAGTTTTAGTTCCTATTCGGGTTTTTCTTTTACTCTTGCTTATTTACGCAGACGTTGTGCCTTCATACGGACTTGCTTCCACTTAAACGATAAAATAGGAATTTCTTCGGCCGAGTGGGGTGTGCCCGGGAGTAAACTGCTTTTTCGGCCTTGACCGAGCGAGATTTGCTTGAAAGCGAGTTAAGTCTTCATCCTTGGTCGAACAAGGTTGCTCGGGAGGGAAATAGGTTTTCAACCTTGGCCGAGCTAGTTGCTCGGAAGGGAACCGGTTTTCAACCTTGGCCGAGTGAGTGGCTCGGGAGGGAATTGAGTTTTCAACCTTGGCCGAGCGAGTTTCTCGGGAGGGAATCGCGTTTTCAACCTTGGCCGAGCGAGTTTCTCGGGAGGGAATTGGTTTTCAACCTTGGCCGAGCGAGTGGCTCGGGAGGGAATTGAGTTTTGACTTGTAATTAAATTGGACAGATGAATGATTCAAAAGGGGCTTGTTTCATTGATATGGTGCCTCGTTAAAAACCTTTCCCAGAAAAACCTCTTTCACATTTTTATAAAAGGGCAAAACCTGAGGAAGGAAAAGAGTACACCGAAACAATTACAATTGTTAACTGAAATAATGTTTCAAATGCGTTGCGTTCCATGTTCGGGGAATAACCTTTCCGGAGAGTTCTTCTAACTTGTAGGCACCGTTCTTCAAGTTATGCATTATGCGAAAAGGGTCGTCCCAGTTGGGTGCAAGTTTTCCCTGAGCTTTGTCCTTTCTTGCTTCTCCGGTAACTCGCCACACGAGGTCTCCGGCTTGGAACTCCCTCGGTTTCACCTTGGTTCGGATTTTCTTCGCTAACCTGGTTCGACAGGCCTCCATGTTCACCAATGCTTGTTCTCGAGCTTCGTCCACCAAGTCCATCTCAATGTTGAGTGTTTCCCGGTTGCTGTTCTCGTCGAATTGGGTTCGTCTGAGCGAAGGTTCTCCCACCTCAACTGGGATCATTGCATCTGTGCCGTAGGTTAGCCGGAAAGGGGTCTCCTTGGTTGAACTCTGAGGCGTGCACCGATATGCCCACAAGATTTCGGGTAGCTGGTCCGGCCATGTTCCTTTAGCCTGTCCGAGACGTCGTTTCAACTCTTTAAGGATAACCTTATTTGCTGCCTCGGCCTGACCATTGGACTGAGGGTGCTCCACAGAGGTCATTCTGTGCTTGATTCCTAAATAATCATAATAATAGTACAAAATATTCACCGCATAATGACTAATCTTTACTAAAGACCGTGAGTATTGGATACATATAATAGATATTTTATTTTAAACATAATTTATTTCATATTCAAGATCAGAATTCGAAAACTAAATAACTTAATTAAAGGATACAAATTGTTACTGCCTATGTGAGGAAATGTTAATTCAAGATTTATACTATTAATGTTCCTGCGTAAGAACACTCGTCTCCTTAATCCTTTCTTAGCTGCCTTTAAGTCTTTCTGAATCTTCCGTGCCGACCGAACACTAGCTCCGTGTGATGGGGGAGGGTACCTGCAAAGGCACTCCGACGATCAAGTCAGTATTCGGTTTGGAGCAATAAATGCGTTAGTGGGAATAGTAACGTACCTCATTTATGTCACATCACCTGTATATTTATAGTGACATGTTTGGGCCTGGTGGGCCTTCATCCTTGGGATATGGGTAATACGTGACTTAACCTTAATCCTGTCTTAATCTGGCCTGGTAATTAGTATCTAGTAGGTATTTGGTTTGCCACGTATTCATCATGGTCTTTTCACTAAGTTTTCGGCTAAGCATAAGGCCGAAGAGGTGTTCGGCCAAGCTCGGGGCCGAAGGGGTGTTCGGCCAAGCTTGGGACCGAAGGAGTGTTCGGCCAAGCTTGGGGCCGAAGGGATGTTCTTGAGTAACTTCACATCACTTCTCTTTGGGTGTCTTTCCTAAGGGACCGAGGGAGTGTTCGGCCTAGCCTGAGGCCGAGGGGGTGTTCGGCCAGGCACGGTGCCGAAGGGGGTGTTGTGGTTCCTCGGTTCGGGCCCCCCTTTCGGCCTGTTGCCAGACTGAGGGGGTGCCAGTTGGTGTGGCTCCTCGGTTCGGGCCTCCCTTTCGGCCTATTGCCAGACCGAGGGGGTGCCATTTGGTGTGACTCCTCGGTTCGGGCCTCCCTTTCGGCCTATTGCCAGACCGAGGGGGTGCCAGTTGGTGTGGCTCCTCGGTTCGGGCCTCCCTTTCGGCCTATTGCCTGACCCAAGGGGGCGTTTTATTAGTTTAGGTACCCCTTTCGGCCTATCGCATGACCGAAGGGGTGCCCATCAGTACAATTAATAAGCATCAAAATTGAACTTTTACTTACACTTATGATATGATGGTGAAAAAAGCGGGAAAGAGAGCCAAAACAAAGAGACAGACTAAACTCGACTGGTAAGTAACTGCTACGCTTGCAGTTACTGCACAAAAGTTTTGCATGTAGCGCAAAATGTTTTAGTTCACGCCAAAATTTTTCCCACTACTTATTTCTACTTTAGTTTAAACAGTGAAAGTTAATTACAACCTAGTTTGTTAATTGATGGATAATTAATTATCATATTTTTCAATGCAAAACATACATCTAATAGATTGTAGCAAGGATGCAAGTCTATAAATTAAATAATCAGCAGTCAATCTTCAAAATTGATGGTTGAAGTAGATAAAGAAGTTCCCTCCTCATACTTCCACCAAGCCAAGCGAAAAATAGCTCATACTTCTCGGCCCAAAAATTATAAAAAAGAAAAGATAGACATTCCCCTATAAGGTTGCTCATGCTCATACACATGAGTCTTGATCGTGAAGCAATGGGCATGGGTTCAATCCTGTCCCTTATTCAAACCTTTCCATAATTTTATGTAAAGTTAAAATATTTTTCTTGTCTATATAATTTTATTTATTTTATATTTTTAGTCTTTATAATTTTAAAATAGATCTTTTTAATTTATATATATATGTATAACAACTATTTTTAGTTCAGTTTAAGATAAATCATTTTTTAGATTTTGTTGTTAATTTATCTTCGTAACATTGTTTTTGGTTTGAATGAGGACATGTCATGTCTCAAACTTGGAACTCAACAGTGGTATTGCAATTAGCAAACTATTGCACCAGGCTATATAGATAGACATTTTTGTAAGATTATTTATTATGTATTGATATGTATTAATTTAATTTTGTGTCTTTTTTATACTTTAATAGTTATTTTTGACATTCATTGTTAAAACTAGAGATGGCAACGGGGTGGGGCGAGTACGGGTTTTATGATACCCGTCCCCATTTCCGCGAGTATGTGATTTTCATTCTCATCCCCGTCCCCGTCAGGTATCGGGTATACCCGTACTCGTACCCGTACCTGTCAAATTTTTTATTTTTTATTTTTTTTAAATATAATATTTTTAAATTATTTTTTAATTATATTATAATTATAATTAAGTTATTTCTCTATCTCATATTATAATAAATAATCACACATAAAAAAATACTAAAATTCTTTAATATAATTAAATTTTGAAATGTTTCGGTACCCTCAATTATAATTTTTCTAAAATTTGATTAGTTATATTTAAATTAAATTTAAAATGCATTCAAACATGTGATATGCTATGAATTCAGCAAAAGAAAGAGAATAGAATAAACGTAATACTACATACCTGTTCCTGACATCCCAACCAGCTGAATTGGCCAAATCCGTCATAGCTGTCTCCCATCGACGAATCTTGTCTGGATCGTGTTTGAACTTCTTCCGTCTGTGTAAATCAAAGTCATTTTGGTATACCCCACACTGATATCTTAGATGAGATGGATCCACATCGTAGAAAACGGGGAAAACTGTTTGCTTCAACTGTTGTTTGCAATCGAATATAGCGGCCATTTCTTCTAGACACCACGATGAGGAAGCATAATTTTCGGAGAAGACGATGATAGAAATCCGTGAATCTTTAATCGCTTGTAGAAGTTGTTCTGAAATGGATTCTCCTTTCTCGAGTCTTTTGTCGTCCTTAAAGACAAAAAGACCCTTTCGGATGAAATGAGCGTAGAGATGATCAACAAAGGAGTTACGAATGTCAACACCTCTGAAACTGATGAATACATCGAATCTGTAGTTTTGGATGCTGTCGGAGTAATTGGAAGAAGAAGAAGTCATGGTGAATGAACTATACTGATGAGAGTTGTGAGAAGAGAAATGATGAAATGGGATTGTGGAATGGAGCGAAGAAAACAAATCTTTATATATTTGAAAATACATTAACTTAGTGGGTTCCACACGGAACACGTACTTCCTTGGAAATTCTTCATACATGAACTTTCATCGAAAGTGAAATCAGGTGATATACTTTTTTTATTCGGCAAATTGGGATTTAGAATTGGAGTAAAGACAAAATTAGGTAATTAGTCTTCATCGTCATGCCCATAATTATTTTTTATCGTCATGCTCATACACATGAGTCTTGATCGTGAAGCAATGGGCATGGGTTCAATCCTGTCCCTTATTCAAACCTTTCCATAATTTTATGTAAAGTTAAAATATTTTTCTTGTCTATATAATTTTATTTATTTTATATTTTTAGTCTTTATAATTTTAAAATAGATCTATATTAATTATATATAGTATAATAATTGTAGAAATAATGTGGCAAATCACAAAAAATAAGAAAACAATGAGACTATGCAATCAGTGTGTTCGGGGTAACCAAATTATGTTTTGAGAATGACATCAAATTATTATACCTGTTAAGAGGTTGGAGTCATGTATAAGTTATCATGAGGAGTGCTTGCAAGCTAAACCCTCCATAATACCTGAAGGGTTCAATTATGACAATCAAGCTATCAAGGTTTTCATATTGATAATACACTTCTTTTGCATTCATGAGAAATTTGTAACTTTGTTTTCCCTTCAACTATTGAGTTGGATATCCAGTTAAAGCAAGGGCATTCCATGATCGTGATCTAAACTTCTTAACAGACCCCTTCATGAGAAACAGTTGTGGATATCCTCTTATGTCAACCTTTAAATAATACTTTCCCTTAGCCGGATCATCTGCACTTTTCCAAGATGACCAAAATCTATCTAGACCAGTGACCAAGTTCCACCCAAGCTTCATTCCTGGCATCATTGTATCACATGGATAAACAAAACTCTGCCAAAAAAAAGTGTTCCTCTTTACTATCCTCTCCATTTGTTATCACAAGATTTCTTGAGTTCAACATCTGTGCAATTAGATTATTCATTGATTTGCTTGATATCTTGGATGACCAAATAGTGTTGTTTGAGTCATTGAGAATGACAAGAACTCTGATTTGAGTAATTGATGTCTTTTTTATTATGAAAGTGAAGAGGATGATTCAAAATTAGATGGGAACACAATCAAAATTGAAGTCGATGAAGTAAAAAAAAAAAATACTAGCAGAATGCTTGATGATTTAAGGGAACATAAAAGAATATATGTTTATAACCATTACTTTTTTCTCCATAAATATCTCTTTTCGAAGAAAAACCTGATTCAATTTTATCATTACTAAATGTAGAAAATGGACATGTCTCTCTTAAAAAAGTTCAAACTTTTTTTTTATCATATTATGAAGTCTAGTCCTTTCTGTTAAACCCAACTCATTTATATAGACATATTATTGTCATTCACTAACACTATTCTTAGAAAAGGAAAAAGAAAAAAAAAAGTGCATTTCTTAGTCAAATGCAGAGAAATTTACTTAAAAAAAAAGCAACAAAAGAAACCTGAAGTTCCACCAGCCGTCTTTCTCGACCACCAACTTAATTCACGTATATATTTTTGACATCTGTAGATTATGTTGACTAGTCTAGTAATTAATAAGGCTTTCAATATAGACATAATAGAAAAATAGAATTATGCGAAATGTCTAGCAAAAGGCTCGTATAAAGGGTTGTATGAAGAGGAAAATTTTCAAGAGTAAAATTTGGAAGATGATGAAAAGAATTATGATAATGATACATTGATACTATAGTATAATTTTGCATGATATTTATACAAGATGTAATGTCAAAGTATTGGAGCCTACAAGGTATGATGAAGTTGTTAAATTTGAAAGTTAAAGTTGCCATGAATGGAAAGATGAACATGATTGAAAAAAGTAAACTTGACAACTTATTGATAGTTTTAGTAATAAAAAAGTGATTGTTGTTGAGTGAGTTCACAAGTCTAAACTCAACCCCAATAATTCTGTAAACAAATTTAAGACCAAATTTGTAATGAAGGTTATACTCAACATTGTGGTATAGATTTTTCAAATGCTTCAACATCAATTACAAGGTATGATACAATCATATTATTAATAATCTTGAAAGTAAAGATTGGTTGAAAATTTTATCACTTTTATGCATCACTTTTGGTCCTCCAAGTAATTTAGATAATACTTTATTATTATTTTTAAGTGTTATCTAAACCACTTTAAGAACAAAAATTGGTATATTTTAAATTAGAGAGACTGCAATATATAGTTCAAAAAAATTTCAAGTGACTAAAACCAAATTTCAAAAAGTTTAAGGAGACTATAATAAAAATATATTTTCTTCCTACATTATATAATTTGGCGTAATTGCAATAATAAAAATTTCTAGTGGTAAGAATTAAATGTAATCCAACCAATTTGACGGTAAGCTGTAATGCCAAGACGATAGTCCTCACCAAGGTAGGAATTTAAGCTGAACCCTTTAATGTTTCAAGTAAGATGAAGAGGTTATTAGTTTTTTATAAAGAAAAATGTGAGAACTTTTCACAATTTAAAATAAATTAGGTTCCACTTTACAAAATAAGGAAGTTTAGTAGTATTATGATAGACTGGTGGAACTAAAATCAAATAAGATCATTTATATATTGATTGCAGCAGAAATAATTGTCCAAGTAATTCAAGTAGTCAAGTACCCGATAAGTTGTTACATGGGCATACATAACATACAAACTGAAATGGAAATTCACGAACAAACAATTACACATAAAGCATAACACATAAATACACAAAAACAATAAATAAAGGGAAAAGGCCTCCACAACTAGGCCAAACATCCACATGACCCTCCTTATTGTCCTTTCAATGGTTCTTCTTGTCCTTCACTGTTTACGACCATAAAGAGCATCAAACAAAAGTGAAAGGGAAAGTGAGATTTGTAGTTCTGTATAATAAAATGCAGAAGAAAAAAACTCTTTAAAAACCATATAACCCATAAATCTATGCATAATTTAGATTTGCACTTAAACCCATATATATACAAACAACCCACTCACGTTGGATAAGGGACTAGCACCGCTGCATATAGTCGTGATAATTTCTAACACTTTTCTATAAGATAATTATTATTTCTTCTCTACAAATACCATTACTATCAAGACAAACAAAAACATAAAGTAGTATATCTATGAATAATTGACAAGAATATTAATTTTTTTTTATTATTAATTGATTCAATCTATCTAAATTATTCTTGAGAATATTATAAAAAGATCAACAATGGCTTGTAATCAAATTAAATAAAGTTTTCATAAAATCAATCAATGTATTTTAACAGAAAAGAAATTCTCCCTATATAATCTATATAATCTGGAAGAAAAATAAGGACAAGTAATATAAAAAGGACAAAAATACAAATCAATATTTTAAATGACATGTTAATTTTTTTTATTGGTGGAACACCAAACCAATTGAGACACAATAAAGAGACATGTGATTTGAATCATTTGTAAGAGACACTCAAAATAATATAATAAAAAATTATTAGATAAAATAAGATATTCAATTAAATAAAATATAAATTATAGTATCATAACCTTACCTACAAATCTTATACTAGTTTTGTTTTGTGTTGTAAACATATATGAACTTTTTTTTTTTAACAAAAAGACTATACTTCTATTTAGAAATTCTTCTTTAGCATATTGGTATATTTTCACAAATAAATTAAATATTTATCTGATTTATTTTATTTTTAAAAGAGATTATTTTTAATTTAATAATAATTCAATCTGTTATATTTATTTATTAAATTACTATTGAAAAAATTATGTTAAATTCAGATTATGTCTTGAGGCACTAAATAGTTTAGTATTGTAATTGTATATATGTGATAAAAATGTTTGCCTGTTGACATCAGTTGTTTTTATACGTTAGAGATGAGTTGAATTCACAATCACAAAGCCTATTTTCTCTGGTAATATTATCTATTTTAATGTAACAACAAAAGCAACTTTCCTCTAGACAAAAAAATGTAATTTACTATTCACACCTCCACAAGTGTATTTTAGAGATCTTTCGTCAAAGTGATGCAGACTTCAGATGGAGCATATAAATCAGCACTTTGAACTAAGGTGGCCAATTACGTGAATTGGACTTTAATCTTAATCAAAATTCCAAAATAATAAGTAATAAAAATGTTTTTCAATTCATACAAGCTTTTAAGTCTTCGGAAAGGAAAGGAATGAGATACGTGTAATGTTGCATATACCATTATATGATTATATCTAAGATGGAAAAATAAAATGCCATACAAACACACACCTATAAAATGTGAAATTTGAATTTCATTGAGTAAAACACCTTTTTCGGTCAAAATGTGCTTTGTTAGTTTATCCATGAGTTACTACTTAAAAATATAGTTCATGTTTTGGGATCAATAAATTTATTTTAAATTATAGAGTTATGATACAATTAAATTCAATTGAACAAAGTATTGAATTGAATCATATCAGTCTTTATCAAAAGTTATTACTCATTTTTGTACTTATTATTTTATTTTCAAATTATTTTTTCAGTTAATAGAAAAAATGAGAATAATAAATAAATAATAGCTATTTATTTATAGATAAATTCTTTTATTTTATTTGGAAGGATATCATTTAATAATTATATATATTGTTTATGTCTTTAGTATGATTGACTACTTGATTAAATGTGGAGGAAAGAGAAATAAATGATGAGACTAAACTTCAAAGCTTGAATGAACACATAAAAAAAGTTAAAATATCAACAATAATCAAAATATTATACTAATCAAAGAATATTAATTCATTAATAAACTTTGTATATAGCAAAGTTGCATTCCTTAAAGCTAAAGATAAATCACACCAAACTCAATTTAACTTAATAATAAGAAATTTGACTTGAATTGCTATTAAGTTGAATATATATAAACTTATTTTATTCAATTCAAGCTCAAGTGTAACTTATGTTATGTCATGAATTATGCAGTTTAGCTTGTTTGCTTGTCTGGATTATTTGCATAAATGAAAGTTTATATATAAACATCATTAGAGCTAGCCTTAGCGTAAACTTAAAGGCCGAAAGTCCTCCATTTAACTTTGGGAAAGAAAAAAAAAAACCACTTCCTAATAATATTTTTATTATAAAAAAAATAAAAAATTAGCGATTCTTCAATAAATAATATTACTTCATTAAGAATAACTAAATAAGTTTTTTCCCCTAGAAGTAGGTTACTCATCTCATTGTGAGTTTCTCTTCTAATAAAGAGTTTCATCTCAACATATCCCTTCATTCTTTTTATTAACCGATAAATAATATTAATTTATTAAGGATAACTAAATATTTCTTTTCTAAAAGAAGTTTTGTTCTATATTACAGCTATTTCCTATTTTTTATATAAATAAAAAATCATATCTTTTGTGTCTTCATTATTTTCACTAATATTAACACCATTCTCTCTCATTCCTTCATTTGTACTCTTCTAAATACATATATTGCTTATATATAAAATAATGTCTACTATTATAATAATTATTGCTTAAGTGGAAAAAAATAAATTTTAAAAAATAACTAATAAATATTAGCTATGCTAATATATCATATATTATATCGATCTTTTATCATTAGAAAAGTTGTTCTAACTCTGATAGTATATATTTGATTATCCTTAGTTATGGATTTAAAGTTGAACATTGTGTATGAAAAACAAATTCTTGTTTGAAGAGTTAATGACATATTATATAATTGAGAGTCATTAATTATGTTTTTGACAAAATTATTTTATTTATTAGCATATCATAGAAATATCAACAAGTTGGTGATTCAAGTGATATTGAACTTATTGATCCTGTTAAATAATGTTTCGGATTCAAATCTTATGTATGAATAAAATATGGTTAAGAGTAGAGACATTACTAAAGATGATCAAGAAGATTTCTCAATGAAAATTAATTGTCGACGAGGTTGATTAATACTTCATACCAATAATATATATGATTATTAAAAAAATATCATAAAAATGTTTAATTAATTTTTATAAGCTAACTAATCTAAAATGACATAAAATATTTTTTTTATAAAGAGAGTGAGAGAATAACTTAATGGGCAAAATAATTTCTAAATTAAAGAGGATTTCAAATAAATTAATGAGGATAAAAATAGAGAAAGTAAAAAAGGTAAGAGCTAATAAGCAATAAACTACTTTAATTAACTTATGAAAATAAGATATAACTCCCTAAAATAAATTTGTAAAAATTTTTATACCTAACTAGTTTACTTTAGTCAAACTAACTTATAAATTAGTCAAAAAAGTTTATAAACTCATTACATATCTTGACAAACACTAGAAGAGAATTTCAACAAAATGATATTTTTAGGATTAAGTATGTTTTCCATCTTTAATTTTTTTTGTCAATTTTTGATTTTAGTCGCTAAACTAATTTTATATGGTTTTAGTCTTTAAATTTGTTTTTTTCTAGAAAATAAATTTTGCCAGGGACCAAAATGTTAATAGAAGAAAAAGTTTAAGAACTAAAAATAAAAATTGACAAAAGTTTAAGGATTAAAATTTGTAAAATAAAATATTCATGGACTAAAAATAAAAATTGATAAAAGTTTATGGACTATTTCATATTTTTTTTTATCATACTAATGGTATATTAATTAATTGCTTTATTAAGATACATATGTTACAAATCACAAACGATTTAAAATCAAGGGAGTGTCTAAAATTAATAAGGTTTGAAGAAATATTAAAGACTTAAATATGTTTTTTAATTTTATAAAATAAGTGCATTTTATGTTTGTTGTTTTAAATATAATCCTATGATTTTCATCCGGTAAAATATATATTAAAATTATATATATTTTTATTTATCTTTTTAAATATTAAACTTGTTGATTTATATAATAAAGTGAAATTTATAAGTTTGTTGAAAGATAAATTCATATTCTATTTACATACTTTATTACAATTTTTTAAAAAAGAAAATAAATTATTACTAATATTAAACTTTAAAATATTAAAAGAAAATAGTGTACGCATTTTGTTTCTACATTGTATTAAAAGAAAAAAATATATATAATAAAAATTGTGAGAAAAAAAAATCTTAAATATTACCTACGAAAAAAATTCCGTAGGTAACTAAAAATTTCATATGGAAAAAATTTCGTAGGTAATATTCCGTAGATAACTAATTCCCTAGGTAATATTCCGTAGATGACCAAACATTACCTACGGAAAAAATTTTGTAAGTAATATTCCGTATATAACTAAAAATTACCTACAAAAAAATTTCTGTAAGTAATATTCCGTAGATAACTAAACATTATCTATGGAAAAAATTCCGTAAGTAATATTCCGTAGATAATAATAATTTTTCTTGTAGTGAAATTTGTTTTGTCTCTACTCAAGTGGTTTTCATCCCTCAAAATGTGATATTCATTAATTGCTAATATGTTTTATTGAGTGTTAAGTGACTATCTCAAGTGCATTTACAAGTTTATAGTATTATTTTAACATGTGACACTTCAAAAAAGATTTTAAATCCTTAAAATAAATATTACTTATCTATCTTAAAATGATTATTGTGTATTAAAATAATGATTTCAAATTTTAAAGTGGTGAAATAAAAAAATATTTTATAAAAACTAAAATAAAAAAATGACACATTTTATAAGAATCAAAAATAAGGATTTCAAAATTTGAAAGGACGAAAAAACAAAGAAAAAAAATTGTATATAAAAAAAATCAAAATTTCATTTTATAGAAATTAAAAACTATTTAAGTGAAGATCAAATGAATCCATATTATTATCAAGTAAAAAGGAAATATTAAAAAAAATTAATTATGATAATATATATAACATAATTTTATACCCAAATTAAAGATTCAAAAGATAAGTTCCAAATAAACTGATAATAATGTTAATAAATTGTTTTTTTTAGTTTAAGAAAGTTGTGCCTTAAAGTTTACGTCAGGGTACTTAAATAAATAATTAAAATTAGGATGATATTGCATTTGTGTATACAAACACAAATATCCAACTGGCTCATAAATTAAAAGAATTGAGCTCTATTTTATTGAAGTTTGAGTCATTTAAAACAACTTACCAGTCAAGTTCAAATTAATCTTAAGCTGATTTAGTTTATTACAAGCTCTAAATGCACTAAACTAGTAGTGTATGAATATACCATTAGTTTTAATAAAAATACCTTGGGTCCAATGATTTTAATATTTCTATAAAAGAACCGAAAATTAGCAATTGTTCAATAAATAATATTATTTTATGAAGAATAAGTAAATAAGTTTTTTTCTTTTTCCTAAAAATAGGTTATTATGAGTTTCTCTTTTCATAGAGTTTCATCTCAACATGTGTGTATTGAATGTGTTTATATGTGTATATATTATATAAACTCAGATAAATATCCAAAAACTAGTTAATAAATTAAAAGAATTAAACTCTATTATGTTCACGTTCAGAATCATTTAACCAAGGAATCTAATTTTCAACTCATTTAAAACCAATTTACTAGTCTTAAGTTGATTTAGTTCACTACACGCTCTAAATGCAATACACTATTAAATTTAATAATTATTAATAAATAAAAATACCTTGGATCCAATGATTTGAATCTCTGGAAAAGATGTCTGTGAGCTTCCATATATTATCTTGGCATGCGTATTAAAGCCCCACATTGGAGAGACTGTTTTCTTTGGCCTTTGCTTCAATATTCTCACCTTCGTCTTGCTCTGTCACCAACCAATTGTAAGGAAGCTGAATTTTGGACCCAGGGTTGGTGATGTTATTCTTTACATCATCAAAGGCAACACTGTCTTGGGATGCGTAATGAAAATCTACTTTTGATTTTGGCTTCCTTTTCAAGCCTTCTAAATCATCCCTGAATATACTCCGCATCCCCCAGCTTCCTTTTCAAGCCTTCTAAATCTTCCCTGAATATACTCCGCATCCCCCATTTACTGATCTCAATACCCGAGTGGGCTTTAAACGTGATATGTGCCCCAGTTTTCACAAAATGGCAGTGTTGTCGAGAGATATAAATCACCCAAACATATTCTGATTTATCAATCTTTTCCATCTTCAAATCAAGAGGCATGTCAAAGTATTCTTCCGTGTGTTCACTTTCGAAAGAAAGATAAAACGGATGCCGCACTGACGAAGATAAAGAACAGTCCGGAGAAGGAGGATTGTTTACCTTAAATATAACATAAAAGGCAAAGCCAAGACAATCATCATTCATATTGAAGTCCTTTATCCTCATAATTGAACAACTGGAAAATTCGTTTTTGAACCACCTGGGAATAGATTCCTTGAGCCAAGGGAAAACAATGTCACAGCCACATCGAAAATGACAGGGTTCCTATCACCACAAGGAAAATCACAATCAAATTTCATTAACAATATTCTATTATTAATGAATTACTTTAGATTAGGAAAATATTTCATCCCAAGACAGAAAGAGAAGGTTGTAGAGTGCAAACCTCAATTAGTCTTGCAAGCCACATCAGTTCGTCTTCTTTTAAATAGTAACGGAGCAGCCTTTCCATGAAATTTCTCTTGGACCCCTGAAGAGCCAGTTTTGGACAATCAAAAAGATATAACCCTGACCTATGATCACGAGATCCAGACACCATTTTAAAATACCTTCCCCCTGATGATTCCCTCCCTGATGGAAGGTCAGGCAACCAGATAAGATCATGGCAATGTGATAAGTTTAAATATGCTAGACGATGTAGAGATCTCATTGAACATACTGATCGAAATTTGTTTCCCTGTAGATTCAGTCTTTCTAAACTCCCCAACACACTAATAGCATCAGGTACTTTAAGTAGATTACAAAAGCCTAGGTCCAAAAATATCAAGGATTCCAAAGATAAAGAATTAAAAACTTGTCCTACGGGCAAGTCATCAAGTTTCAAACAGCCACCTAAATCTAGAGTTTGAAGTGATCTCATGGCATTAATGTCGTTAGGTATACTAACAAGATTTTCGCAGTTTCTCAAACTCAAGAAGGTGAGTCTTGAAAGAGCTCCAATAGATTCATGAACCATGGATAAACTTGCACATCCATCAAAGTCAAGGTACTTAAGATTTTTTGCCCTTGTAAAATTTGGCGTGCATTCAAGTTTAGTGCAACCAGATAAATGTAGAACTGTCAGAGAACTTAGATTAGATCCATTGTCAAAGTCGATGCTGACTAGATTGGTACAATTTCTTAAACTCAAGAAAGCAAGTTTTCCAAGACTTCCTAATGATGAATCGACTTGTAATAAACTTATGCATCCTGAAAGATCAAGCCGCTCAAGTTTTGGGGTCCCGAAAAATACCGGAGTCTTATCAAGATATTTGGAATTGCTCAAATCCATCCTTTTCAAACTTGGGAATTGCTGTGGAGAATCAATAACCACTTATTAGCATCTCTTTTTAAAACTTAAATTTCATTATTACACTTTAATTTAGTATGATTTCTAAAATTAAAGACAAATTTATATATTAAATGTGAATTTTGTAAATCCAATCATTAAATTAAAAATTCATATCATTTTATATGTGTATATCAAATTTTGTTAAAATTAAACAACAACTTGAAGGTAATCAAAGTGTTTATATTTTAGTATATTTTGAAATAAATATATTACGTCAATTTTGTTTTATAAGAATGAAATATCAAATTATCTTGAATTAATATAAAATTTTGTATATATAATCTAAGAGTAAAGAATTTTTAATATATATATATATATAGGATTTAAATGACACCGGTGTAACTTTTACTAAATGTTACACTGCTCAATAACTTTATATTATAGGTAAATTTTGTAAATTCACATTAAAAAACGTCAAATGATTTTTCACTTATTTTTACTTATACCATGATGCCACAAATAAACTTTCAAATTGCATAAAATGTTAACTACTATCAATCTATCATTATGCATTGCAGCCGAAATTCCTAACAACTTTAAGCACCTACCAACCCATAGCAAAGTAAAAGCATTCAAAAAGCAAATGAGGGATAGGTTCAATTATGTTGAGATACAAACAAGTTTTACATTGATAAAATAAAAGAAAAAATAACAATTTATAAAATATACTCATACTCCAATAATTGATAGGTCTTTTAGATAATGACTATAAAATAAAACTGTGAAAATTTAAGACTAAAATAGACAATATCTCATCATTATAGAATTAAATATAAAAATAACTCTTATAAAATATTCTCTCAAATAAATATCATAAAATAACTCACGTCAAATTATCTCCTCACATTCAAGGAAACTAAGAATAAGATAGAAGGTTATCTCTGATTGGGATTTTATTTTGGACAAGTTTCTAAATGAATAACACCACTTTCAACGAGACCATCTTATATCAAACCTTTTTGACGAATGTGTCTGCATCACCCGAGTACACCTCTGGCTCCATGAGGGTCTCATCGGCTGATTTAATAAAGTAAAAACCTATTGCCTTATGATTTTCTACAATTCTAGTAACTCGTCTGGTAAATCGAATTCCGTTGAAAATAAACCTTCTTCTCCATGCCCATATCCACTCCCATTGCCTCTTTAACCACTAACCCATTTGTACCACCAAACTTAATTTATCCTCTGAAATGATATACAATCTATAAAAATTTTATTAGAGTAAATAATGGAAAAAATAAATGTTTGTAAAATTCCTCTGATCAATAACAAAAATATAATTCTCCTCTTAAATAAATATACCCGTAAAAATCAAATATAAAAACATAACCGTAACATACCTTAAAAATAGTGCAAAAAGGAAGTATATTGTCCATTCCCCACCACACTGACCATTTTCTCTCTTCCCTCCTATAACTCCTTGAAACTTATTATACTTATGCACCAATATTTTATACAATAGTCCCTCCTTGTCCACCTTCATTTACCTAGTAATGTAAGATTGAAAGCCTTAAGATTTTTTAATGCCCAACCCACCTTTCTCTCGTTCCTTGTAAAGCATGTCCCTCTTCACCCCAATACATGTTTGACAAAATTCCTACACTGATTCTTGTTTTGCAACATCAAACCCCAATTGCCATGATCATTTCCATGCCACACCTTCAACTTAAACTTTACTGATTTAAATTTTTCCTTCAATTCATACGCCCCTCATCCTTCCACTTCGATGTTCCACCATTGGTCTTTCACAAACTCGTGAACAACCTCCACCTCCCTCTAGCAGTTGAGCATCATAAAAGGTTTTTGGACCCAACTAACATCCTCGTCTTGTTGTCTCTAAGAACTATACTATTTTAACCCCAAGCGTGTGGTTCAGCGGTAGGGGTTGATCCACGCTTAAGCAAGGTCAGGGGTTCGAATCCTGCCTTGTGTATGCAGCCGCGTTAAATCTTGGGACCAACTATCCCACCCTTTCGGCGATGGATACTCCAAGAACGAACCAAAAAAAAAAAAGAACTATACTATTTTTAGACCCAAATTGACCTTCCCATAAAGATTATAATCACTACTCAAAATCAATTTTTTTTTTATAATAATCTATAAGTAAGTAATTAATTAAATGGTGGTAAAAAAAATATTGCTAAAATTTTTTTATCAAAATAATGTTTAATTTCTTTTAATATCTCGAAGTCCTATATTTTTTGAATAGTTAAAGGCAAAAAACAATTTATCTTGAAAAAAAAATATATTGTCAACACATTTCTCGTTATAAAGATTCTTTATTTCAAAACTTTTAAGAAAAAATACGTAATGAAATTTTACACTTCATTCAATCAAACTATTAGATTAAAAAAAATCACTATATGACTTTTATAGAATAATATGTCATGACTTTTAAATAGTCTTTTTCTATAATTAGAAAGTATATTGATTTCTAAAACACAGTTTAGAAGTCAAGCTATTAACATAATTAATTGGTTGATAATTTAAAAATTTTAGAAATGCCAGTGAATAGAAAATAAATTTATCTTTTAAACACTAAAATTTTAAGCAAATGTTTGTCGAAATTTTAAATTTCAAAATTATTATAGCATTAATTGTAGAATAAAAAATGTGTTTAACTGTAATATATACTACTCCCATTAAAAAAATAATAGAGAACACAATTTATTAGGGGTGTAAATAGTACGAGTAACTTATAAACTCGAATCGACTCAAACTAACTCAATAGGTTTAGATTATATATTTTTTTTTATATTCAAGCAAAATCTAACCCAACCAATCGAATCTAATATTGTACAGGTCAAATAATGGGATCTATTTTTGACCATGACTCAACCTCCAACTCGGACATATAATAATAATAATAATAATAATAATAATAATAATAATTTTTGAATGATCACTTGCTCAAGATAATACTCATTGACACTCTTATTCAATAACGATTTTTGTGTTTAGGTTGATAACATTGTAACAATATAACATATTTTTTTAAATTATTTTATATTAATTAATGTTGATTATTTGAGTTGATAATAATGTAGTAAATCAACAAATTTATTTTAGAATTTAGTTTATATCATTGTTTGTTTTATGTGTTAATAACATTGTATTTGCATTAAAGATATCAAATAATTTACATCTATTTTAAAATATTTTAATTTTTAAAAAATAAATAAACCTAATTATATTAACTCCATTGAATCAATCCAATCTAATCCAATTGTGGTCGGATTGGATTAGGTTGAATTTCAAAATAAAATTACATTAACTCTATCGAATCAGATAATAGATTCATCCAAACCTAATCCAACTTAATTCGTATACACTCCTACAATTTTTTTATTTAAGGAAAAACATACTACTTATATAGTTTTTGTTTTAAATGGGCTTCTGTTAAACTATTTAAACATATTACAATATATAAGTAAATAAGTATATTATATTCAATTTTTAAAAATTTAAAATTATGATGCCAATTTTGAAATAAAAATAAAAATGATCCAAATGCATAGCTATTTTGGAAAACTTAATGAGACAATTTTTCTCTTATTATTTCTGCAAATCAATAAAGATGAAGAGGAAGAAGCATTAAAGTACCTTGAGGCCTTTCCAAACACGTTTGATGCTACTATTAGGCATATTCAATTCCACAATATTAGTAGCCGTAAAATTTGGTGGCAAAGAATCAAAAGGATAACTATGCCACAAAAGATATCGCAGTTTGTGAGAAAGAGAATCGAGGCTTCCTGAAAAGCTTTGATGATATAATATGAGTAATCTTAGATCCTTCATTCTTGATAATCCATCAACTCTACATTCGGTATCTTCTTTTTTATCGAGAACTATGGCTTTGACATTATTTGTTCCCTGGAAAACAAAGAATAAACATATTAGACAAATAAATAATTGAATTAACGACACTTATTTTGCTTAAAATTAATAACATCTTTAACACATTTTTTTTATATTAATTTTTGGTAATTATTTTATATTTTAAACTAAAAAACCTTTATCACTTGAAAAGTAATGTTTTAAGATAACATAATTTACTTATTTTTTTATTCTCAAAGTGATAAAATAATGAAAATCCTTAACCACTTGTATCAATCTCATTGACATAACATGATAGATAACATAATATTTGGTATATCTTTTTGGATAAAATTGGTAAAGAAACGTGATAACAAGAACAAGATAATCAAAATGATTATATAAATTTTCAAAAAAAGAAAAAGTAACTTTAGAAAATAATTTTTAGGGTAAATGAAACTTGTTTTCCTCACTTCTACATATAAATATGTTGTAAGCTATTAAGAAGAGCATTACTCAACACTCACAAATCTAAAGCTATTAAAAAAAATTTGTTACCGTTTCTACCACCAAGACTTGATAGAAATCTTCATAGCACCATATTCTACTCCATGATCCTGGTTCTTCAGGAAATTGGTTGCGAACAATTTTCTTTCCTAATTCTTGAAACATATCATGCATATGAATTTCTTGATCTCTAATAGTTATCAAGGATTTCTCAATGATTCTTGGAATTCCAATATGAGGGTGCAATCCACAACATTCTAGAATTCGCTTAACATAATCCTCCCTCTCCCCTTTAAAGAAACATGCAATGTGCAAAAATATTTCTTTTTCTTCATATTCTAGTCCATCAAGACTTATTTGAAGTACATTCATAATTTCATCATTTGGATTTGTCTTCAATCTATCTAAGGCATCTCTCCATTGGATAGCATCTCGAGTGCACAAGAAAGAACCCATTACTTTAATTGCTAATGGAAGACATTGGACATATTTTAGTACCTCAGGAATCAACTCCATACAACTACTACTTTGGTCTTCATTTTTGAAGGCCTTTCTAAAAAATAGTTCACGAGCCTCATATTCATTCAATAAAGAAACCTTGTGCAATACATAATTTCCATGCGGTTTAAGAATTTGCTCATTTGTAGTGGTAACAATAATTCTACTTCCTTTGGAAAGAAATTTAGGATTTATGGCCAATTCCTGCAATTGCTCTATTTGATCAACATCGTCGAGAACTATAAGGACCTTTATGTTGTGTAGCCTGTTCCTTACGATCCCTGATATTTCGAAAGGACTATACATTTCTAGATTTTTCTCTTGTAAAGTTTGACGAAGAATTTGCTTTTGTATAGCAGTATGGCCACCATCCCTATAAATTCTGCTCACATTCTCAATGAAACAACAAGCGTCAAACTTATGAGAAATTTTATCATATAAGACAGCAGCTTGAGTTGTCTTTCCTATTCCACTCATTCCCCAAATTCCTAAAATTGAAACATCATCATTCTCCGAGTTTAATCTTAAAATATTTTCTAATGTTTGTACACGTGGTTGTATCCCAATAAGATCATTAGCAAATGCTGAAAATTTCTGACCCAATTTTTTTATTACCACTTGAACAATATTTTCAATCTCTTCAGACTCTGACCTAGGAAATATATACAAATAAAACCACAAATATTAACTAAAGAAAAAAATGCAAGCTAACACATTTTCAATCACTTCAAACTATACTACTAATAAAATTGCATGACTAATTTATTTATATTCAACTTTATATATATGAACACAAATTATCAATTAGAGAATAAATAAAATGCAAGATAACATGTTTTTAATCTCTTCAAACTATATTACTAATAAAAATTCATGACTAATTTGTTAATAAATATGCAAGACTAATTTATTTGTATTCAACTTTATTGATGTTTGATTGATATATTTGAACTTTCAAATTTTTAAGATATTCCGATTTTGATATTTTTTTTACAATGTATAAATATTAAAATATTATGATAATATTTTTTTTAATGTAGAACGCTTGATGTTACAAATATATTTATATTATTTTTGGTTTATTTTTTCTTATGTTTCATTAACTTTAAAAAAAAAAGGAAAAAAAGCCCTCAAATTTGATAAATTTTAGTTTTTCAAAAAAGAAACATATTTTCATTGAGCCCACATACTTGCTCGCTTACCCTGAAGGAAAAGAAAAACTTGGATTCTGATTCAAATGCGAGCTTTTTTGGCTGAGCCTAAGCATTGAAAAGGTCTCTATACCCACCCTAGTTGTAGTAAAGATTGTAAATTTAAACAAATCTTGCAATCTAATTAACTCATCTATATTTTTTATCTTACAATTAAAATTGATTATTATCATTCTCATAAGAAGGTCATTTTCGTAGTCTAATACTCCCTATATATAATGAACTAATCTTTTGTATAAGATTATTTACTTGTGCTAAAATCTTAGTAGTTGTTGAGTATAAAAGGATACTTCAACCCAAGAAATTAGTCAAGTAGGTTGGAGAGTCTCATTGCTAAAGTACTACATTAAATCTATATTTTTATAAAATAAAAAAAAGTACTACACTAAACTTGATATAATTATTCCACTTAATAATTCATAATTTATATTAAATTTCACTATTTAACTATTATATTAAAAGTTCTGAATAAATAGATAAAATCTATAATTTTTTTTCAAATTTAAAAATTATTTGATATTTTGTTACATTAATTCAAATTAACATATATTCAAAAAAAATATTGTATGTTAATTTCAATCTATATAACAAAGTATCATATGTTTTTTAAACTTTTCAAAGATTTATAAACTTAATATATTCAATAAAATCTTTTAATTTTGTAGTTAAATTGTTAAAATAAAAATTTTAATAGTAATACACCAACATTGTAAAATAATATTTTACATTATCATCTAATCACAAATTATCATTTATGTAAATTTGTTAGCTTCCATAATTAGTATCTTAGCAATAATAGTAAATTTTGTTTGGTTGACACTATAAAATTTTTTACATGATAATGCATCAGTATTAAACTCAAA